TTTTAAGTGGATTTCAGGAAATTTTAGGGACTTTTTTTAGATTTTTAAATTTTTTCTCTCCCATTTCATTCCCACTGTTTTAAAATTCATTTTTGGCCTTTTTTGAGAGATTTTGGGGACATTTTTGGGGTTTTTTTTACTCCCCAAAACCACAGAGTTTCGATTTTTTGCTGCTTTGGGGTTTCCAGGGGGGGATTTTGGGGTAAAAAAAGGGAATTTTGGGGCCTGGAATTTGGGAATTGTGACTTTTTTTCAGCTGAAATGTGGAAATTGTCACTTTTTTATGTCCCTAATTCAGAAATTTTGACTTTTTTCCGCCTGAAATTTGGAAATTTTGGGTTTTTTGCACCCCTAATTTGGAAATTTTGACTTTTTTTTTCGCCCTTAATTTTGAATTTTTTTTCCCACCCCCTCATTTCCCAAACCCCACCTTTCCCTTCCCACCCCAAACCCCTCATTCCCAACCCCAAAAATTGATTTCATTTTCTTTTATTTCATTTATTTCATTCATTTCATTGACTTCATTTATTTCACTTATTTCATTTGATTCATTCATTTCATTTATTTCATTTATTTCACTTATTTTATTTCATTTATTTCACTTCATTCATTTCATTCATTTAATTTATTTCACTTATTTCATTTATTTCATTTATTTCATTTAATTCATTCATTTATTTTATTCATTTCACTTATTTCATTTATTTCACTTATTTCATTCATTTCATTTATTTCACTTCTTTCATTTATTTCATTTAATTCATTCATTTCATTTATTTCATTTATTTCACTTATTTATTTCATTTATTTTATTTCTTTCATTTAACTTATTTCATTTATTTCATTTAATTCATTTATTTCATTTATTTCATTCATTTCGTTTATTTTGTTTATTTCATTTAACTTATTTAATTCATTTCACTTATTTCACTTATTTCATTCATTTCATTTATTTCATTCATTTCACTTATTCCCCTTATTTCATTTATTTCATTTAATTAATTCATTTCATTTATTTCACTTGTTTTACTTATTTCATTTATTTCACTTATTTATTTCACTTATTTCTTTTAATTCATTCATTGAATTTATTTCATTTATTTCACTTATTTCACTTATTTCATTCATTTCATTTCCTTCATAATTCATTTCATTCATTTTATTCATTTCACTTATTCCACTTATTCCACTTATTTCATTTATTTCATTTAATTAATTCATTTCATTTATTTCACTTGTTTTACTTATTTCATTTATTTCACTTATTTCATATATTTCACTTATTTCATTTAATTCATTCATTGAATTTATTTCATTTATTCCACTTATTTCACTTACTTCATTCATTTCATTTCCTTCATTATTTATTTTATTCATTTCATTTATTTCATTTATTTCACTTATTTCACTTATTTCATTCATTTCATTTCCTTCATTATTTATTTTATTCATTTAATTCATTTCATTCATTTCATTTATTTCACTTATTCCATTTATTCCATTTATTTCACTTATTTCATTTAATTCATTCATTTCACTTATTCCACTTATTTCATTTTTTATTCCATTCATTCCCCTCTTTCCCCCCCTCTCCTTTTTTCCCAGCCCCATGTGAACGATGCTGAAGAAAACCAGCCTGGCTCTGTGGGGGGCCGCGCTCTTCCTCGCCTGGAACGGGCTCCTGCTCCTCTTCCTCTGGAGCCGCCCGGGCTCGGCGCCCGACTCCTCCATGGCCCGCGACGCGCCGGGCTCGGCGCTGCTGCCGGCGCAGCTGCTGCAGCTGGCGCAGGACGCCGAGGCCGAGCTGCGGCGCCAGCGGGAGCTGCTGCTGCAGATCCAACGTTTGGGCCGAATGCGACGCCCGGCGACGTCACCGCCACCGCAGCAACCGCCGCAACCGCTGCAACCGCAGCGTCGCGGCGACGAGCCCGCCGTCATCCCCGTGCTGGTGCTGGCGTGCGACCGCAGCTCGGTGCGGCGCTGCCTCGATAAAATCCTGCGCTACCGCCCCAGCGCCCGCCGCTTCCCCGTCATCGTGTCGCAGGACTGCGGCCACGCCGAGACGGCCGCGGTCATCGCGTCGTACGGCGGCGCCGTGGCTCACATCCGCCAGCCCGACCTGAGCGACGTGGCCGTGCCGCCGGAGCACCGTAAATTCCAGGGTTATTACAAAATCTCCCGCCATTACCGCTGGGCCCTGGGCCAGGTGTTCCGCACCTTCCGCTACCGCGCCGCCATCGTGGTGGAGGACGACTTGGAGGTGGCGCCGGATTTTTTCGAGTATTTCCAGGCCGTGCTGCCGCTGCTGCGCAGCGATCCCAGCCTGTGGTGCGCCTCGGCGTGGAACGACAACGGCAAGGAGGCCCTGGTGGACGCCGGGCGCGCCGAGCTCCTGTACCGCACCGATTTCTTCCCCGGCTTGGGTTGGTTGCTGTTGGCGGAGCTGTGGGACGAGCTGGAGCCCAAATGGCCGCCGGCGTTTTGGGACGATTGGATGAGGCAGCCGGAGCAGCGGCGCGGGCGCTCCTGCGTGCGGCCCGAGGTGTCGAGGACCGTGACCTTCGGCCGCAAGGGCGTGAGCCACGGGCAGTTCTTCGACCAATACCTGAAGTTCATCAAACTCAACGACCGCTTCGTGCCTTTCACCCAGCTGGACCTGTCCTACCTGCACAAGGACGAGTACGAGAGGTTTTTCCTGCAGCAGGTTTACTCCGCTCCCGAAATCAAACTGGACGAGCTCCAAAAAAGCTCCGGGAGGGATTTGGGGCCCGTCAGGCTCCAATATCGGGGCAGGGATTCCTTCAAGGCTTTGGCCAAAGCGTTGGGGTTGATGGACGACCTCAAATCCGGCGTCCCCCGCGCCGGTTACCGCGGCATCGTCAGCTTCGTGTGCCGGGGCCGCCGCGTCTTCCTGGCCCCTCCCTCGGACTGGACGGGTTACGACCCTTCCTGGAGCTGAGATCTGGATTTTTTTGGGGGGAGGGAGATTTCCTCTTTTTTTTTTTTTTTTTTTTTTTTTTTGGGGTGAATTCAGAGCCGGGGGAGGGGTTTTGCAGAATAAAAGGTGAGAAATCGGGGGGGGGTTCTCCCCAGGATTCCGTCACTGCCACTTCTGTCGGAGTTTCGTCTTTAAATTCGAGTCTTTTAAAAAGCCCTTTTGGAGTCTAAATTTGGTTTTGGGGTTTTTTTTTGTTTGTTTTGTTTGTTGTTTTTTTTTTTTCTTTGGGGGGAAGAAGGGGCTGGGATTTGGTGCTGGCGGGGTTGAAGCGGCTCAAACGGGGGCGGGGATTTTTCCAGAATAAAAGCTGAAAAAAACGGGGGATTCTCCCCACGATTCCACGTTTGTTTCGCTGCCACGTCCATCCGGAGTTTCACCCCAAAATTCAGGAGTTCCGAAAGTCCTTTTTGGGCTTAAATTTGGCTTTTGATTTTGGGGGGTGAAGGCTGAACAGCTCCAGAGGAATCAACAGGGAGATTAAAGCTGTGACATCCCCAAATTAAATTAAATCCCATTAAATCCCAAAGCCGTTCAATCGGCTCCAATCCAGGTGGGAATGCCCAGAGCTGTTCCAGGGGGAGGAATTTCACAAGGAATCGCTGGAATTCTGTCAATCCCCTCAGAGAATCCCCTCAGGACCAGGCCCGGGGATTGAGGGCCTTTCTCAGGCATCCCCCACATCCTCCCGGGGCCACAGGGGGGTCCCTGCCCCGTGCTGGACTCACCCTCAGCGGTTCCTGCCCGGCCCAGGACATTTCGGGACATTTTTGGGACATTTTTGGGACATTTTGGGTCATTTCAGGACATTCCCGGCCCCTTCCTCCCCGCCCCGCCATTTTGGGAGCTTCGCGCCCCTCACGGCCCCCTTTATACCCCGCGCAGAACCCGCCCCTCACTCCCATTGGCTGATTTTCCCGCCCAAAACCCGGCTCTCGTTCTGATTGGCCGAGCCACACGTCACTCCTGGTTCTCGCTCGCTGATTGGCCAGCGCGGCGTCGAGGGGCCGTTGCCGCCTCATGCCCGCGGCGCCATGTTTGCCCCCGAGCCCTGATGGCGGCGCGAAGATTTTTTCAGGTTTTATTTCCTTTGTTCTTTTATTTCTTTTCAATTAAACGTTCGTGGGGTGTCCCCGGTGTCCCCTCAGCTCCTCGCGGGTTCCATCCCGGCTGGGAGGGAGGGATGGAGGAGGAGGAGGAGGAGGAAGGGGAGGAAAAGAGCGGGATGAGGATGAAGATGGAGAAAAGGAGGAGGAGGAAGGAGAGGGATGGGGATGAAGAAGAGGAGGAGGAGGAGAGCAGGATGAGGATGAAGAAGAGGAAGATGAGAAGAGGAGAAAACCGGGATGAGGATGAAGAAGATGAGGAAAAAAGCAGGACGGGGATGAAGATGGAGAATGGGAGGAGAGGAGGAGGAGGAGGAGGGGGATGAAGAAGAGCAGGATGAGGATGAAAAGGGGAGGAAGAGGAGGGGAGCGGGATGAGGATGAAGATGGAGCAGAGGAGGAAGAGGAGGAGGAGAGCGGGATGAGGCTGAAAACACAGAATGGGAGGAAGAAGAAGAGGAGGAGGAAGAAGAGAGCGGGATGAGGATGAGGACAGAACAGGAGGAAGAAGAGGAGGAAGAGGAGGGGAGCGGGATGAGGAAGGAGAGCGGGATGAGGGTGAAAAGGGGAGGAGGAAGAGGAAGAGGAGAACGGGATGAGGATGAAGCCAGAGAACGGGAGGAAGAGGAGGAGGAGGAAGAAGAAGAGGAGGAGGAGGAGAGTGGGAGGAAGAAGAGGAGGAAGAGGGTGAGGAGAGCGGGATGAGGATGAAGCCGGAGAACGGGAGGAGGGAGAGGAAGAGCGGGATGAGGATGAAGATGGGGAGGAAGAGGAGGAGGAGGAGAGCGGGATGAGGATGAAAATGAACAAGAGGAGGAGGAGAGCGGGAGGAAGAAGAGGAGGAGGAGGAGGAAGAAGAAGAACGGGATGAGGATGAAGAAGAGGGGGAGGAGGAGAGCGGGAGGAAGAAGAGGAGGAGGAGGAAGGAGAGGAAGAGCGGGATGAGGATGGAGACGCGGAACGGGAGGAGGAGGAAGAGGAAGAGGAAGAGGAGGAAGAGGAAGAGGAGGAGGAAGAAGAGGAAGAGGAGGAGGAGGAAGAGGAGGCTCCGGCCGCTTTTCGGCTCCATCCGGCGCTGCCCGGGCGGGGCTCCCGGGACCCCCCCGAGCTCGGCGGTACCGGGGGGAGGG